AAATGTCAAAAAATGTAGGGGCCCTTTTAATTCGCCACAGGCAGCGGCGTGGTACGTGCGAAATGGCCCCAGTGCAAGACTGCCAAGCCCTTTGATGTGATAGGGAATTCCCTAAAGTTCTCTGAGAATTAATTGTAAGAATTGCCGCTTTTACTCCCTACTCTAGGTTAGTTATAAGTACTAATGATAATCTCACTATTTTAAGAGGGGCATATATTCGGTCTCAGCAGCTGTTGTAAACTAATCAGCAAAAATAAATGGCACGTAAAATTAAACAATTGCAGTGCCGGATCAGGGAATTCGAAATAAAGGGGCAGGGGAGGGATTTACACCGGTGGAAGATGAGGACCACTTCAGCCCCTCTATGGTGGGGGCTAAGATAAGAAACTTGATAATTATAGCACCTCTAAATGGCGCCGGAAACTGTACTTCCAGACTTATAATATATTGAATATAATTTAGTTTTTTTAGTGAAATATTTCAATATGATATAAGTATACCAGCCTTTAAATAAAATACATTGGTAATAGTTGTAAGATTTTAGAGGTAGTAAATTGCATTTCCCGTCTTCTGTCGACTGTCATACGGTAGTTTTTTAAGCCAAAGTCGATCGTGCTGTACTGAATGTGTATTGTATTACTAATCTAGGCCTACATATACATAGTACTAGTAGGGCAAGTAAGTAATGTTCATCGACTTTGAATGAGACAGAAAATTCCTGTAAATATATAATATATTTTGAATCTATTTGGAATCGTTTTTTTTTGTAATTATTAAAATGTACATTTAAAAAAAAAACTGAGGCTGAATTACTTCAAAAAATAAGAACACATTGAAGCCGATGTCAAATTTCAAATTTTTTTTTTGCATGCAATGTAAATAAATAACATTAATCAGTATTTCTTGCCATGCCTGTTGATTTTTTTTTAACTGCTTGAAGACCTTGGTAATATGGACTGAATTAATGAATAATAGTAAAGCAATTGATGATTCCAATAAGGTGAAACAAATACATTTTTAATATACCTCAGCCAGTTGCATCCCATCAGCACTTTCATTATCTCTCTGATCACTCACTGGGTATATACATTTAACTACAAAACAGTAAACACAAGGTTGAAAGAAGTTTATGACAAAAATCTGAACTTTTATAATTATGAATATTATTGAAACACTTTAGCACATCATATACCTACACAGAACTGCTTTAAACATTGCTGAATATAGAGTTCAGTCCAATCCACTTATAAACATGTGTTAAATATTACAATTATATAATATTATCAATGTAACCAACCAGCATAAACAATTTAAAAGAAACTAGAAATAATGAAAGTTTTGCTGTATTCATTATCATTTATCAGCAAGTACTGTTATGTTATTTTCTTCTTTTCATATTGACATTGTAAAGTACAATACAATGCAATTCAAAAAGTCAATGCAAATTTTTATAAAGAAAATAAATGTGTTGTTGATAAATGTTTATGCAAGGAAAAACCTTAATAGTATCTGGTAACAACAAAGTGTATGGTATGATGTCATATCAAATAGAAAACAACATTCATACAAACACTATACAGCTCCAATCTGATAGGACTACAGTACTTTCAATTGATTCATGTTTCTATCCATGGCCTATAATATGGCCTGAATTGCCACCAGATCCTTATCCCTCATGTAGTGACAAGGCTTCATCCTGATTTGCAGTAGCAGCCTCAAGTAATTCCACCACTCAATGTTTCACATCTTACTAATTTCTCAATGGTGTTTGCTCTATTAAAAGTATATTATTGTCTTTTTACAAAAAATACATTGGAGAACATGACTTCGACCAGGAAGCACTTCCTTAATTCTTGACTTCAGCTTTCAGGTGATGCAGAATGAGCATTTGCTTTGGCTGTGGTTCATCAACCTCATATTTTTGTGATACATGTTGTAAGAACATAGAGTATGGTTGTGTTATTAAGCGTAAACAGCTTAAAAGAAATTTAAGGATGTGAAACTCTGTGGAAAACAACGAATACGAGTCCTCAGTAAGGCCTGTTAAGTTTCCGTCGAAGCTGATAAATAGCCTACATATATAACGAAGGGGATCTCGGGGATGGTGGTGCAAGTAGTAGTAGTCAAAATTGCACCGACTCTGTTTAAAGGTACGTGTGTGGTTACATATAATGTTAAAAATGGTATGCTATGTTTTACTTAATTGAGAAGCACTAAGCGTCTCTCTATCACACCACACACACAGACAGGAAGCCCTGCATTTTCCTCAAACTGGGGTACTATCGACAGCAAAATAACCACAGAGTATTGTGAATCAAATACGATGATGTTATATTGTAATAAGCATATTGAGACAATAATGTTGGCAATGAATCGACCCAGCATAAACAACTGACCATGAAGACAAATCAAGAATAGCCATCCACAATTATATAGCAACTATTTACTACTGTCTAAAAAGAACAATCACTACAAAAATTGAATCAATTCAGTTTTTTGGGGTGGAGGATGTGCCCTTCAGTGACTGTGCTTAGACTAAGTAATTCAGGCTTAATTTGATTTTAATGTCTTAATGAAAAGATAACAAAATTATTATATTAATAGTACAGTATGCTTTATCTACATAGGAATCCTTGGACACAACATAACAAAAAATATATTAATTAATAGATATCAAAACTGACTTAAGCAAATAATATTTATCAACACTTTGATGTCCAATTAAACATCACCACATGCATTTAATATTGTATGATACTGATACTACTTATTTTTTTATTTTTTTTTTTTTTGGAAAACAACCTTTGATTAAAAAGAAACAATTTAAATACATATTTAATCAATAAAACCATCACAATAGCATAAATAAGCTCTTTGATTTGTTTAATTAATTTTCACAGACCACAGAATCAAGTGAATGGAAGTTGATGAACCACAGCCAAAGCAAATGCTCATTCTGCATCACCTGAAAGCTGAAGTCAAGAATTAAGGAAGTGCTTCCTGGTCGAAGTCATGTTCTCCCATGTACTTTTTTTGTAAAAAGACAATAATATATTAAGTACTTTTAATAGAGCAAACACCATTGAGAAATTAGTAAGATGTGAAACATTGAGTGGTGGAATTACTTGAGGCTGCTACTGCAAATCAGGATGAAGCCTTGTCACTACATGAGGGATAAGGATCTGGTGGCAATTCAGGCCATATTATAGGCCATGGATAGAAACATGAATCAATTGAAAGTACTGTAGTCCTATCAGATTGGAACTGTATACTGTTTGTATGAATGTTGTTATCTATTTGATATGACATCATACTATACACTTTGTTGAGAAATATTACCAGATATTATTAAGGTTTTTTCTTGTATGAACATTTATCAACAACACATTTATTTTCTTTATAATGAACATTTATCTTTATAAAAATTTGCATTGACTTTTTGAATTGTATTGTATTGTACTTTACAATACAATATGAAAAGAAGAAAATAACATAACAGTACTTGCTGATAAATGATAATGAATACAGCAAAACTTTCATTATTTCTAGTTTCTTTTAAGTTGTTTATGCTGGTTGGTTACATTGATAATATTATATAATTGTAATATTTAACACATGTTTATAAGTGGATTGGATTGATTCAGCTATGTTTAAAGCAGTTCAGTGTAGGTATATGGTGTGCTAAAGTGTTTCAATAATATTCATATAAAAGTTTTTTGTCATAAACTTCTTTCAACCTTGTGTTTACTGTTGTGTAGTTAAATGTATATACCCAGTGAGTGATCAGAGAGATAGTGAAAGTGATGATGGGATGCAACTGGCTGAACTGAGGTATATTAAAAATGTATTTGTTTCACCTTTGGAATCATCAATTGCTTTACTTTTATTTATTAATTCAGTCCATATTACGAAGGTCTTCAAGCAGTTAAACAAAAATCAACAGGCATGGAAAGAAATACTGATTAATGTTATTTATTTACATTGCATGCAAATAAATACATTTGAAATTTTACATCAGCCTCAATGTGTTCTTATTTTTTGAAGTAATTCAGCCTCAGTTTTCTTTCAAAATTTACATATTTTTAATTATAGAAAAAAAAAAGCGATTCCAAATAGAATCAAAATATATTA